CTTAAGTAGGGATGCCTGGGGCAGAGCTGGACTATCGGAAGGGGGGGGCTATGAGGGGTCTGGGGTGGCATCTCCCCCACCCCACCCCAGAGCCCTCATAGCCCCCCCCTTCCAATATTCTGGCATATTTGTAATCCGGTACCCCTTGGGTCCTAAATGTGCCGGATTATCGGAAGCTTACTGTATTGCTCAGGGCTGTCTACTATACAGTTGTGACTTTTCATTACTGAGAATTTGTGTGAGGGATCCTTTAGAATTGTGTCTCTATCTAGTTGTTGTGTGTGTTTTTTTCAATAACACGGAGAGGATCAGATCTCCTGAGAGAACACCATACTATACATAAAACACTTCTGCCTACAAACCATTGAACAGGCTTTTTGTATCAAACTTTTAAAGATGGCCTGTAATGGTATAAACTTAAACAACAAATAGTCTGGTAGCACTTTAAAGACTAACAAAACATGTAGATGGAATCATGTGGTCATCTGAAGAAGTGGGCTGTGCCTACGAAAGCTCATGATACCATCTACATGTTTTGTTAATCTTTAAAGTGCTACCAGGCTATTTGCTGTTTAAGTTTATCCTCTACAAACTAACTCAGCTACCCCTCTGAAGCTTTTGCAATGGTATAGTTACTATTTAAAAGAGTCACACTATGTGAGTCAGGTTATTCGAGGTGCGATTGGATTTATAGTCAAGTTCACAGTGTTTCTTTGGTTAATTTTTTCTTGAGTGTTCCACAATGTTGCAATAGCTAATTCTTCTTTGAGTAGTGATCCTATGGGCTCTCCACTGTAGATGTATGTGTGCCTCTAATCAGAGATTTTTGGTAGCAGTGTCAGTTGAGCCTGTGCATGTGCTCTCCCTTGCTCATGGTCTGCCTACCAATTAATGAGGTGATTCTAGATCCTACCAAAGTTGTCCACAGCAACAAAATAAAAAAAATCTAAATCAAACCAACTAAACATATTTTTGGGTTGGCCAGATTGTTACAGAAGACTTCCAGTGGACCACATTACAATCCCTAGGTATCTACACTATAGGGCAGAAAAGATTTACCTCTCACCCACACAATACCCACTTTCCCAGCACTGTTATGAGCCATAGAGTGAGAGGACAAGGCTTAAAAGGGGAAGCAGCCTGCACTCCAGTCTGCTACCTCTCAAGCCACCTGTTCTAAGCACTTTCTAAGGGGCCGTTGAGGGTCCAAACAGTTAGTGTTATCTTGCAATGTCCACTGCTATATACATACCTGTCATGCCCCTTCAGAAGTCGCTTGGCCCCGTTTCACAGCATTTGTATCACCTCTGATAGATGGGTCCTGGGGATTATTTTGCAGAGTTATAACATTTGAGTCATAGATTCAGAGGGGTAGTCGTGTGCAAAGACCCACTTCGTCAGATGCATGCAGTGGAAATTTCCAGAGGCAGGTATAAATATGCAGGCCAGAATAAAGCTAGAGATAACCAGGTTAATTCAGTCAGGGAGGGTTAGGACCACTTCTAGCACCTCCACATCAGCTGCTAGAAGTGGGCCTCACTCTCCCTGACTGAATTAATCTGATTATCTCTAGCCTTATTCTGGCCTGCATATTTATACCTGCCTCTGGAAATTTCCACTGCATGCATCTGACGAAGTGGGTCTTTGCACACGAAAGCTTATGCTCCAATACCTCTGTTAGTCTATAAGGTGCCACAGGACTCCTTAACATTTGATTCATGTACCTTTCCCACTGTGACCCTCCTTCCCCATCCCTCTTCAGGCACCCTTCTCATGAGAACATTCTTGACTAGGAAATGTATCCTTTATTATTCCATCGAATCAGTCCTGATTACCCTTTTGTTTTAATAATTGGTGGATACTTTCAGTTCCAGGGTCCCTCATGGTGGCTTTGCCCATATAATGGGTGGCAGTGGATTGCAGAATTTCACAATTGCAGCTGTGCCATACACTCCAAATTTGCTACCAACATCAAGTACATGGTATGTTAAATAGCTCCATTTAAATGCATTAAGAAACTGAGCAAAATCCTTTCATTGTGTTTTTTTTTTTTTTTTAAACACTTCAGGTATAACCCTCTTATACAATCTAATGAAAAAGGAAAACCTTTGGTTAGTTCGGAGCATATCCAACATAAAGTTGATTGTTATGCTAGAGAGAGTTATTTTTCCTTCCTCATTGTTGAGGGAAAAAACTTAACTACTCCCATGTAGTAAGTGGAAGGCCGTACAATTTCACTAAGGAACACTTCAAGTTAAATTACTGTATTGCTTTTTACTTTAAATGACAAGAACCTTATTTTCCTGCAGAGCATTTGAATACTGAGGATACTGCAATGCAGCAGTGTGGTTTTTTGTTTTTATAAATGACAACTTCAGGGTTCTCGGATTTTAAATATATATTTGACAGGACAGTTCCATGTTAATTACTTAGTACAACACAATCAAATTTTTTTAATTCTACTTTCATATTTAACGTTGATGTTTTTCTTTTAGTATCAACATGCTCAAGTTACCTGAATATCCAAGCAAAGAAATTCTTAAGAACAGGCTTCTTGTGGCCTTACACTGTGGAAGCTATGGTTACACAATGGCATAATGAAGTCTGGAAAACTCATCTGACTAGTGATGTGCAATTCAGAGTGGCAGAAGTAATTTTGAAAACTGTCAACACAAAAGCAGGCTAGATTCTGAGACCTACAGACAGGGCTGACTTTAAAAAAAAAAAAAAAAAAAAAAAGAGATAAAGGATGTCTGTGATACTGTTACATGACTTAAATTTCATAGTATATTCTCTTTGTTTACTAATATAAAATTAGAATTGAAAGCAGTCTACTTTCATTAGGATTAATGTAACATGAAGACTGTGTGTCAAAATATTTTTCTCCAATTTTATTTCTGATCCTCAACTGTGTGGGTGAATGAGTATTACTTTTAGTTTTCCTCCCACTGGCATGATATGCTATTAAAACACACTTGTGTGTCTTGTTGCATGTAAAAGTGCCATTTATTTTTTGCAGAGAACACTGTATAGAAAGTTTAATCTAATGTATTTTCCCACTTGTTGAATTGGAACTATTAAAAGGTTTTTAACTTTTTAGTATTTTAATGTATATAATGTAAAGTTTAGACCAGTGTCGCTGTGACATCTGATGGAATTAAGATATTTATATTATATATGAAAATTTACTCTATATTGTACTAAATATTTAAGTATTTGTGACTTCATTGTCAATTTGCAGTTTAGAACTTATATATTGTTTTAAATGTATATTTGTTTATTTTAAAAATATCTTTTCTCATGCCTTGTTATAGTCCTATGTGGAAAAGGCATAATTAAATTTTAATACTTTAACAGAACCTGGGACTGGCCAGTGTTTATTTTCTCTGGACTAAATTAATATATTAATGATCTGAAACAATCATATTGTTGTTATCATTTGCACGAGTATGTACCATTTGTTTTGTTGACAAAGGCTGTTACTTTAAGTAGACTTTCAAATTGCGTAAGAGAAAAAGCTTGAGTGTGTTGAGATGCTAGTTAAGGAGACTGCAATAATTAGGAATCCTATGCCACATCTCATAGTGAATTAGCCAAAAAACAAAAACACACCACTCCTGAATAATATTTTACATTACATTGGAAAAAAAAACCTTGCAATTTTTGGAGAAATTCTTGACATTTTTTCTAAAGATGCATGTATAGAGGGCAAACCACCTACACATAGGCTCAGTTCATTCATCATAGCAAAAGTTTTTTTGCTGATTGTACATGAAGTCTTATACCACAAGGCTTTTTGATAGTGTTACTGCCTACTTTACAGAAGGAAAAGTAAGCATTACTCTATTGGAAATTATACTTTTTGCTTTTTTAGTTACTGGGATTTTTTTTGCTTATGTCGGGGTTTTAACTTGCAAGTGCTTTTGTTTTGTAATGATTAAGCAATTTCTCTCAAACATTCACATCTTCTGTTTCATTGTAGTATACAGCTGTTTTTTGTAAAGAGCATAAAATCCTGCCTCCTAAAAAGAAATATCTAAAACACTAAACATCAGATGTCTTAAGACTGAATGCACAATTTTCAAACTTGTATTTATATTTTCTTTTTACTTCTCTATTAATGGATTTGCAATAGTCCATTGATGCAGCATTATTACCATGTATAAGGAGGGAGATCTGAAAAATCTTCAAATGAGTCTTTTAAATCCCTACATATTCTTAATGATCTTGGACAGCAAGTAGTAAGTTAAAAGGACAGTAATTGAAGTGGGGAAAAAGGGGGACAAAACTCACACAAGTAATTGACTATTTGAAAAGGTCAATTTCTTATCAAATCAACTACTATGGTTCATTGGACTAACCATCCTGTACCAAAAAACAAAACAAAACATAGGGCAAATGTTTTAAAGGCATTCTGCCAACTGGCATTATAACAAATAGTAAACATAGTCTATTTTAAAATAACTGATTTGTACATAGATTTGTATATAATTATAGGTGTCTAAGCAAACTTTGCAGTTTTATTCTACAGAAAGAGAAGGACTTGAATATTTTACCATATTTCTCCTATGTTGAAAGATACTCTCTTTTAAATATCTCACTTTAAAAAGACTGGAGCTGGATTATTATATTCTAATTCCACAGATGGCATCCCTGACTCCTTCCATTATAAAAGGCCACAGATGTTTACATAAAAATACATGGTAAATATACAGTGTAAATGCTAGTTGAATAAATGCTGTTCTCAGAAACATACTCTGAAAATATTAGGAGGCTGGCATTCATGTATGATAAACTGCATATGGAAACTATAGTTTCTGTTGTGCTCTACAGTCTGTCCCCAATCACACCATTTCTGAAACAGATAAATGGTGAGAGAATATTTCACTATTCACACTTCATGTCTCCTGGCAGCAGTCAATACTTCCACTTAATCCAGGCTGTCACAGCAGGTTAATTATATCTGGTATAATGACAAGTGCCCTGCAACCTGCGTGCCTTAGGAGCTACTTCAGCAAGGCATTTTATCTCAACTGATCCCAAACAGACTTCCACCATGCGAGCCACACCCTGAATATCTGTGTATAACTGCAGCCTTCCATATACATTTGGGTTACACTCTGGCTCTCATCAGCCTTGGTTATACTTAGGTACTTACTAAATTCACTGTCCATTTTGGTCAATTTCAGGGTTATAGCATTTTTGAAATGCTATATTTCAGCTATTTAAATCTGAAACTTCAGTTTTGTAATTGTAGTGATCCTGACCCAAAAAGGAGTCTGGTGCGGTTCAGTTTCCACTAAGCTGTGCAGCCATGAAATTTCCCATTAAGCCCCATCCAGGGGCTCAGGAGAGAAAACTCTCCTCAAGATGCTGGGAATGGCAGCAGCAGGATGCCTCAGCACTGAGCTGCCAAGGGCAAGGGCCCTTCCTTGCCAGCACACCACTTAGCCACCTAGGTATACCTGCGGCCCTACCCCAACTTGAGTCCTCCCCCCCCCGAGCACCCTCCTGCACCCCAAAGCCCTCATCCAGGGCCCCACCCCAAAGCCCACACTCCCAGCCCACAGCCTGTACCCCCTCCTACACACCAACCCCAGAGCCCTTCCACAAACCTGGAGTCTTCCACCTTCACTCCCAGCCAGAGCCCTTGCCCCTTAACCCTAACCCTACTCTAGAGGCTGCACACTCTGCCAGAGCCCTATCACTCCAGTCCTGAGTACCTTTGCATGCTCAGAATCCTTTGGTTCCACTTCCATCACATGAATTTTGTTGTCACACATCACCTCCATGTTGGTACACATGAGAATTCATTCCTCTTGGATTGAAAAAAATTAAAGGGGAATATTGGGTCGTGGTGCTGCTACCCTTACTTCTGCACTGCTGCTTGCAGTGACATTGCATTCAGAGCTAGGAAGTAGTTGCTAGCTGGGAGCCCAGTTTGGAAGACAGAGTGGCCTCTTGCAGCAGATGCAAAAGGTCAGAATGATATGGTATGTTATGCTATTGCCACTCTTTTTCTGTGCTGCTGCTGGCAAGCTGCTGCTTTCACAGCTGGGCTCCTGGCTGGCAATCCCTACTGTTCAGCTGCTCAGCTCTGAAAGCAGAGTGGAAATAAGAGTGGCAGTACTGTGAGCTACCTGCAACTCTATTTTGGGTCAGGACCCCCAATTTCACAAACACTGATTTTTTTTTTTCCCCTGTGAAAATCTATACAGTGTACAGTAAAAGCACACAGATTACCAAATTAGTGGGGGCAGGGACCAGATTTTACAGTCCCTGATGTGTTTTTCATGTGGCCATGAATCAGGTGAGGCCTAA